TGCCTTGGATTTATTTTCAACTTGCAAGATATCCTTTGTTTATTGTAGTCTCGATCAGCATGTCCGCTCGCAAGTCTTTGTGCTCGGCGTGTGGGGGCCCTAAACCGAGTGTTAAGCTCGACCGGCACTCGGAGTGCCCGTTGTGTCGCTCGTGTAGCAAGGCTGAGCCTTGCGATATTTGTGCGCGCTGGCCCTCGACTAAGTTTGCGACGGCTCTAGATTGGGCAGCTCAGGCTGCCACTCGATCTCAGGGTTCGCTGCCGGCTGCGTCAGGGGTTGTTGCGGCGCCGGATGACTCGCCTCCACCGCTGGAGGATTCGTCGGCTTCGCGTTTGGCAGCTTGTATCAAGTGTGGAAGGTGGCAACTTAACTGATAAAGATCCATTTATCCAGCCTATCCACCTGTACTTTATGTAGTCTGTTTTCTGAAGTTAGTGTCCCTATTTTGTAGATTGTGTATGTAGACGATATGAACATGCCAGCCCGTGAGACATATGGAGCACAGCCTCCAATTGAGCTGTTACGGCAGTGGCAGGACCATTGGAACTGGTATGACCGCAAGGACTGTTCTGCCATGAAGCTTGTGGATGTTCAAATTATTGCCGCTATGGGGCCTCCTGGTAAGATTTTTGTAAAAATAGTTTGTATTTGGTGGTTGTGTTTGAACATGTTTGGTAGTTTTAAGTTCACAGATATTATGTTCTAGGTTCTGTTTCATTACTATTTTTCTTCATTTGCGATTCTTTAGGTGGCGGAAGAAATCCCATAACACCACGCTTCCTGCGTCACTTTAACACAGTGACCATCAATGAATTTGACGATGGGACCATGGAAACTATATTTTCGAAAATATTATCATGGCACTTATCTTCAAAGTAAGTATTTTGCTAGACTTAGCATCCATAAATTATATTTTAGTCTTTAAAATACTGACTTTTACTGTTTATGAATTAAATATAAGATACAAGGTAAGATATTTTCTCAACAAATACAGAAATTTGTTTTACACTGGCATGAAAAATTACATAAAATATAATTACATATATAATAGATAAGTGGTTACAAAATTGATACATAATACTACACAGATCACACATCCAAACGCTTACTTAACATATTTACTGTTGGAAAACTGTTAACAACAAAACATTTTTAATAATCTCACATTTCACCAACTGAAGCAGAAAAAAAAATGTTACACTAATTTGCCTTGTTTGTCTGTTACAGGGGTTTTGGTAAAGAATTTGAGCCATGCATAATGCAGATAGTTTCAAGCACACTACAGGTGTATAAGGCAGCCATGGTGAATCTCCTACCAACACCTGCCAAGTCGCATTACCTGTTTAACCTGCGTGATTTCGCTAGAGTCATTCAAGGCGTACTGCTGTCGAATCCAGAGTATTGTCAGACACCTGCAAGCATGAAGAAACTTTGGTTCCATGAGGTAACCACCAAAAAATTTCCATTGTATCCTCTGACCAAATTGCATAAGATGTCATACTGGTCATTTTTGGTGTTATGTCATTTCAATAATTACATAACATACCAACGTTTTTATAAGCCAGTGTGTCAGTTGTCGAAAGCCTGAAAAACACCAGACAATGTTGAATCATACATTTTTGCCTGAAATAATTTTTAGATTTTACTTGTGCTTTATTATAAAAAAGTTATATTAGCCACCTTACATATAACTGCTTGACCCTTGTTACAATAGCATTAATATAATAAGAAATATATTTTACTGGAAATGTTTAATTCAGCATTTTTATATCATCCTGGAGGAGGTGTGCTACAGTATTTTATTTTATATTTCATAAGTAAACAAATAACAATGTTTAAACTTTTCAGGTATTGAGAGTCTACTATGACCGTCTTGTAGACGATAAGGATCGTTCATGGTTGGTGGAATTCACCCAGACTGTTGTCAAGACACATCTTCACGAGGACTTTCACCAGCTCTTCTCACACCTTGACTTCGATGGGGATGGTAAAGTCACAGAGGATGACCTCCGTAGCTTGATGTTCTGTGACTTCACTGACCCTAAGAATGAAAACAAAAACTACATAGAGGTAGCCGACGTGGATAAGCTACGTGTCGTTGTTGAGTCTCATCTTGAGGAATTTAACCTCATTAGTAAAAAGCCAATGAACTTGGTTATGTTCAGGTTTGTATTCCTTAAATTTTATTAATTTTCTATCTTAATAAAAAAAACTTCTGTTCCCAATTACTGTTGTTAAAATATTATAAATTCCAGACTTGTCCACAAATAAAAGTTGACGAAAAAAATTGTCACCCCAATCAAGTATAAAAAAAAGGAAACATAGCAGATCAATCAAACATAACATAACAATCGGAAAGCATTTTTTCTATTCTTTCCTTCGTGAAGCTAACAAACCTTGTCACAGAATCACTGCAAAGGTGTTGTACGGTTGCCAGCTGGAGAGAACTATTGGTGGCTCCGGAAATGTGCCGACAAGTCCAACAGGGTCCAATCAAGGGGTGAACTTATTTTTTCCTGATATTACAAAAAAGTAGCATTTTTGTTCACGTAATTCTGTAAACTTTCATTCATCAGATTTGCGATTGAGCATGTATCTCGTATCTCGCGTATCATCAAACAACCACGTGGTCATGTCCTAGCTGTTGGCGTTGGTGGAAGTGGGCGTCAATCTCTGACGCGTCTCGCTGCCCATATGGCTGACTGTGAACTTTTCCAAGTGGAGATCAGTAAGAGTTATGGAACAGTTGAATGGCATGAAGATTTGAAATCCATCTTGAGGAAATCAACTAATGGAGAACAACATGGAGTTTTCCTTTTCAGTGACACACAGGTAAAGGGACTTTGTTAACGCATTATTATGAAATCCTAGTTTAATGAAGAGAGCAGCATTGCTCATTTTTCTAAGCTGGTAGTAGCCACTGTCTGTGTGTACAGTGGTCTCTGGTTTAATGGCTCTTGTGAAAGTTACAATGTTATACACCATCTTTTGGTTGAGACATTTAAGCTATTGCTGCTGTGTGCATTATGGCCCATGTCTGAGTATAGAATGCAGTAAATGCTTTGGAAAAGGGTTTTCTTCATACCAAAAAAATCCAATCCAATCAAATTTAATACCAAATCTAAAAAGAAACATGATTTGAACTGTCCTAATTTGATGGAAATCACATATTTGTGTTCTGGTTAAAAAATTCAAAATGTTTTTTTTTTAAATTTTTATTCTCCAGATCAAGCAAGAAAGTTTCTTGGAAGACATCAACAACCTTCTAAATGCTGGTGAGGTTCCAAACCTCTTCCCTACAGATGAGAAGGCAGAAGTCTGTGAGAGAATGCGTGTCATAGACAGACAGCGTGAGAAGTCCAGACAAACTGATGGATCGCCATTATCACTATTCAATATGTTTATCGATCGAGTCCGTGACCAGATGCACATTGTTCTCGCAATGAGTCCAATTGGAGATGCCTTCAGGAACAGGCTTAGAAAGTTCCCTTCACTCGTAAATTGCTGTACAATTGACTGGTTCCAGGTAAGTGGAGATTTTATGTAGAGTTCATTTGGGTGGTCAGTATTCAGCAGTCGTTGTAACACAAAATGCTCTATAACAAATGTATTTGTTTGTGGTGGTTATTGATATGCCCTTATGATTATTACTTAAACATCATACTCATGTATTTTACCTAGTCTTGGCCGGAAGATGCATTACAAGCCGTTGCGACACGTTTTCTCGATGATCTGGAGATGAGCGATGATAACCGATCTGGATGCATTGACATGTGTAAAGAGTTCCACACTTCCACCCGTGATCTGTCTGAGCGATTTTTGAATGAGCTTGATCGACATAACTACGTCACTCCTACATCATACCTAGAGTTAATTAGCACCTTTAAGACATTGCTTAACAAGAAAAGAGCGTATGTTTATAACTTGATATAATACTATTTATGTTTATATATTTATTAATTTCATTTATTCAACAAAAATTCACATGGCCGCATAAACACTGAAAAAGAAAAAATAAAAATATACAGCTGGATGATATACACAATTCAACATTATTATTATTATATATTTATATTGTATGTATGTTTACCACAACATTAATAATAGTAATTAGTTATTTGTAGTTATAATCACTCAGTACGCTTTCTAGAATTGTCTGTACTGGCCAATTCATTGTAACATTGCATTGTCTATGCAGTCTGTGGTCTTTTTCTTATATTAGTAAATTTTTTTAATTGCAATAATTAACAGGGAGGTTATGAAGAACAAGAAACGTTATGAGGTTGGTCTTGAGAAACTTCAATCTGCTGCCTCGCAAGTTGCAGGGATGCAAAAAGAACTAGAGGATCTTCAACCTCAGCTGAAAGTGGCCACAAAAGAAGTTGATGAGATCATGGTCATCATAGAAAGAGATTCTGTTGAAGTTGCAAAGACAGAAAAGGTAGGAAATTAGAGTTTATTAGTAGAAAGAAACCGTATCTGCATATTAACTATAATATTTATCTATTAAAAAAAGAAAATCTAAAAAAATTCTCTGAGTGTTAGATAGCCAATATTATAGGTATCTGTAGTTTGACTGTAGGTACACTGTTATTCCAAGTTTATTTTATTTGCAAAAATTAGTTTTAATGAATTGGATCCAAAATGATGGAAATTATCTAATTTGAAATTGATAGTATATTTATTTATTTAAAATGCAATGAAGAAATTCAGTTACATAATCACTATAATGACATTATGCCAAATATATTTTTCTGGTGGGTGTAGTCTCCACAAGAATAAGATGTTATAAATATGTACTAAATCATAATTGTTTTAATTTAAATTAAGATTGTAAAAGCTGATGAAGAGGTAGCCAACAAGCAAGCTGGAGCAGCCCAAGCTATTAAAGATGAGTGTGATGCTGATCTAGCTGAGGCTATGCCTATCCTCAACTCTGCCCTAGCTGCACTCAACACTCTCACTCAACAGGTATGACTCATGTTTCAAATTATTTAGTTTATTGATATGATTTAATTTGTTTTATTACTACTAGTACTACAGTAGTAAATAAAGGCAGAGAAATGGCTGAATAATAACTTAAATAAATTTTATTATTGTTAATGTATTACAATTATCATAGTAATATGAGTCAATAAAATGAAAAAATGAAAAACAAATCTTGAATTATCATTAGTTCCACCATTATTATCTATTATAATCATTATCATAAGCATTTATCATCAATATTTGTATAAACCATGAATAGTAATAAAAAAACAATAACAATTAACAAAAACAAAAATCAACATGATATTATTCACTAAACATTCACACACCATTATCGTCATTGTCATCATTATTACTGTAACCATTATTCAACTTGAATAATATATTATTAATAGTATTATTATACTTTTTATTTTATTTATAATGTTTGTTGAGATACATGATATAGTTTATTTATCAACATTCATTATTTTTTTTTATCAGTTGTGAAGTGTTAAAGAACATATGGCAGTGCATTCTTGCAAGTCCATTTTTAATAACATTTTTACCCTTCAGGATATTGGTGTTGTGAAAACCATGAACAATCCTCCAGCCGGTGTAAAGCTGGTCATGGAAGCTCTGTGCATTTTGAAAAAAATTAAACCAGATAGGATTCCAGACCCATCAGGATCTGGAAAGAAGATTGAGGATTACTGGGGACCATCTAAGAAGCTTCTCAATGACATGAAGTTCTTGCAGACACTTATTGAATTTGACAAGGTATGAAATGAGACTTATATAATTCCAATCTTATATAATATACATATTTCTAGTTATTTTAAATTTTTTTATGTAATGTAGCTCCATTTTATTTTCAATGTGCTGTAAATTTTATATTTTATGTTGACATGATTTCATTCTGTTTTTGATGTGATAAAAGTTTCATAAAAATTCAATCCTAAAACTGCTGCGTTTTGCTTGAAGTGGTAAAAAGTGACAATATTATTATTTCCTAACACAACAAAATATTTATGATTTTAGCACATTATTATTTATTGTATTCTTCATTAAAAGGATAACATTGCACCAAACATTATCAAGGTCATTCGTACCAAATATATAACCAATCCAGACTTTGACCCAGAGAAAATCAAGAATGCGTCAACTGCTTGCCAAGGTCTCTGCAAGTGGATAATTGCTATGGAATCGTACGATAGGTGTGTAACATCGTTTCTGAAAGAATATAGTTATTAAGTTTATTTTGTAAAAATTATTTAAATGTAGCAATACAACTTTCCATTTTTGAAGCCTACCTACAGTACCTTCCCTCCTCCAAAGGTAAGTAATGGTGCTTGCACTGTGATTATCACCTATATACACAAAGCATTAGAATGTGGAAACTTCCATATCAGTTCATTCATGTAACTAATTTGTTTGTATACTACCTAGATACCATTTGATTTGTGTAATTTAGTTTAATAATTCAGTTTGATATGTTTGTTAAAGATGTGTATTTAAAACAAAATTATTATCTGCTGCTGCCCATCACCCTTTGACTAACAAGTCTTTAAAAGTCCAAAATAAATTGGTTGTCTACGTATCAAGTTAAATTTCATCAGATCATTTATTCAGTAATCTAAAGAAATTTTGGATTGATGCCAAAGTTATTTTTTAACATATTCTCCCTCTGTTTCTTCCCTTTTACCTTTAAATCTGTCATGGGTTTAGTGTCTATAAACTTGTACAAGTTGGTATAGTTCACTGGATTTTTTTTAAGGCATACACTTAGGTATAAAAGCATACAAATATGACATACCAAGATTCTTTCCCATGCAGAGTTGCAAAGATCGTTGCCCCGAAGAAAGAATTACTCAAGAAAGCTGAAGCCGAACTGAAAGTCGCCATGGCGAACTTGGAAAAGAAACGCTCCATGCTCCGAGAAGTACAAGACAAACTGCAGAAGCTCCAAAATAAACTGGAAGCCAACAAGAAAAAGAAGGTTGATTTGGAGAACCAGATTGACCTCTGTTCTAAAAAGCTAGAGCGAGCTGAGCAGCTAATTAGTGGCCTAGGTGGCGAGAAAGACAGGTGTGTAGTGTTCTAATGTCCTGTCCAGACTATCAAATTTTATTTGACAAAAACATGTGACATGCCTAAATATGGTCATCATAAGAAAATTTGATAGTGTGGACAGAGATTAAATCAAAATATTGCATGTATTTTATTATCACTATTCAATTTTCAGTTTTTGTTATTGTGTAAATCATGTCTCTCTTTTGTTCCTGGGCCTGTGATCTCCTTTCTGTTGAATCCTGAAATTAATTTTAATATTTTTTTCAGTTTTTAATAAATTCTATATTTAGCCTATATGAGGAGTTTCACCAGTCCAGAAGAACTTATTGTTTTTTGTGACACATTATTTATTGACCTTTAAAATCTGACCTCTTTAGATGGAAGAAAACAGCAGCTGAACTTGGAGAGTTGTATGTTAACCTGACTGGTGATGTTCTAATTTCTTCTGGTCTTGTTGCATATCTTGGTGCTTTTACATCCGTCTTCAGACAAGTAAGATAAACATTTTACATCGTACATTAATGTTATAAAGTATTGGGATACTCACTATTTAGATTAATTGAGTGCCCTATAATATGTTGAGTGTGGAAGATGCTTTGAAACTAGGCTCACTTGTAAAGGTGTCAAATGGATTGTGTTCATCTTTCTTTCTGATATTCCTATTAAATTTAACTGACAATGTGAATGTAGTTTCTTAATTTTTATTTTGTCTTCTTTATGTTCAAATCAGTTTATCTTCTTGAAGTAGAAAGTCAGTCTGTGCAGGGTTTCTTTCCAAGGCTTAAGAAATACTGTACAGTACCTGCCACTTTACATCAAATATTCACAAACCATTTAGTTTTATTTTAAATCCGGCCTAATCAATCACTTAAATGCATCTTTAGTACTGATTTTCATTTAATAATACCAATCAAAGGAATTCTGTTAATCACAATTAGATTTTGCAAGTCAATTCCTACTTTTTCAATTCCAGGAACAAATACAAGAGTGGTTTAAAAAAACCAAAGACATGGGTATCCCATGCTCCTTGGAGTTTTCACTTACTGCAACCCTGGGAGAGGCTGTACTGATTCGACAGTGGAACATTGCTGGTCTTCCCACTGATAGCTTCTCAGTAGAAAATGGAATCATTGTCAGGTACAGATTTTATTTATTCGTTTGCTCATTGCCAATAAATTGGCTGAACAATTCCAAAGTGTTTTTTCTACAGATATCCAGACCATACACAACCCGTTAAGTGCAAGTCCTTAGCCAGACATGCCACCTATAGAAATCTCAAATGCAGGTATTGAAAAACTACTCAAATCACTGGAAACTAATAAATTAATTTCCCGCAAGACTAGAAACAGGCCAACATCACCCCAATCTTCAAGAAAGGAAAGAAATCAGTTCCAAGTAACTACCGACCAATCTCCTTAACATGTGTCTTCTCTAAATTATTTGAATGTATTATAGACAGCCACATCATGAGACACCTGACAGAACACTCTATAATCACAGATGCTCAGCACACTTTCAGAAGATCTCAGCTACAATCCATGACCTTGTATCTTACCATAACAAACGTCGAACGACAGACATAGCGGTATTAGATTTTACTAAGGCTTTTGATGTTGTCCCGCATCAACGCCTGCTTCCAAAATTAAGCTTCTATGGTATCCGTAACAAAACGCTGAAGTGGATTGAGTCCTTTCTGAAAGGTCGTACGCAAAGAGTAGTTGTCAACAGGAAATCGTCCCCATGGAAACCAGTACTTAGCGGTGTTCCACAAGGAATCGTCCTGGGCCCACATCTCTTTATCCTCTTCATTAACGACATGTCCAAGCTGTCGAATCAACCACTAGGCTCTTTGCTGACGACATAATAATCTACAAGCCCATTAATTCAAGAGATGATGAAGCTGCCTTCCAACACGACCTACAGTACATAACCTTGTTGCTTGGTCTGAAAAGTGGGGCATAAAATTCAACATTCCGAAATGCAAACTATATCCTAATGGGTAGTGACCTAGAAAAAGTTAAAGAGATTAATTATCTGGGAATCCTTAAACAAAACAATTTAAACTGGAATTATTCATTTCTTTCGTTCTTCCATTTATTTATTCATTGGATGAGATTGTTACTGTGTGTTAGTTAGTTTATAATAAACCATGTGATGTATATATTGATAGATACAAGTAGAATAAGTTTCAGATTTAAAAAATTATTTACTGACATTTTACTACCAAAACCCTGTCATTTGCTGCCATTTGAAGACTTATAAAATTATGTATACACTTTTTTTAGCAATATTTTAAAATGATATTTTTTTAGCAATGCTCGTCGTTGGCCGCTAATGATTGATCCACAAGGCCAAGCCAACAAGTGGGTAAAGAATATGGAGAAAGCCAACAATCTTCATGTGATCAAACTGACCTCTAGCGACTTTGTTCGTACTTTGGAAAATTGTATCCAGTTTGGAACACCAGTAAGTTGTGTCAGATCTCAAGTATAACTTAATTGAGCCTATTTTGTGAATACTTACCTGGATAAACCGAAAAATTGCTTTTGTTCCTAAAATTAAACCTCCTATTTGAAAATAGAACAGTCCCTTCTGGCACCATGTATGAACCGTTAAAAAAAAAAAATCCTCATTCTTTATTCAACAATGATTTAGTTAGGAGTACATGTTTGCAAAGCAAGAAAGCCACATGTTTGAGTTGTGATATAACGATCTTGGAATATATCCCCAAGATACAAACATTTTGTTTTAAAGGGGTGTTCCGCTTTGGAACAAAAGCAATTATCTAGGTAAATCACTCATAGACTGCTAATATACGATTGATTTGTGTAATTTATTGTCAGAATGTTTGCCTAATTAATGTTTATTTGTAATATTTTTAATCAAAGGTTCTGTTAGAGAACATCAACGAGGAATTGGACCCCATTTTGGAACCTCTCCTTCTGAAGCAGACATTCAAACAGGGTGGAAGTATCTGCATCCGTCTTGGTGATAGCACCATTGAGTATTCACATGACTTTCGTTTCTACGTCACCACTAAACTGAGAAACCCTCACTATCTACCAGAAACAGCTGTTAAGGTTAGTAACTGAAAGGCACAGTTTCAATGACTGATAAAAAGACAGGAATTCCACACTAAAATATTTATGGTATATAATATTATAGATTAATATGTTTACAAAATATTTTCATAATCATTTATTTTAAAGGAGTGATGTTTTGTATCTTTATTTTAGGTAACATTGTTGAATTTCATGATCACACCTGAGGGTCTGGAAGATCAGTTGCTGGGTATTGTTGTTGCTCGAGAACGGCCAGAATTAGAAGAGGAGAAGAATGCACTTATACTTCAGAGTGCTGATAACAAGAGGTAAGAGACATTATTTATTTGCTGATCACACATTCCAATTTATATATTTGTATAAATATAATAATAATGAAAAACAATGTACCAACTGCTTCAAAAGATATTAAAATTCTTAGTTCAGGTAGTAAATATATGTTTTGACATTCTTTGCAGACAATTAAAAGAAATTGAGGATAAAATCCTTGAAGTTCTTTCAACTTCCGAAGGCAATATCCTCGAAGATGAGACAGCCATAAAAGTACTGTCCTCCTCCAAGGTCCTTGCCAATGAGATATCTGAGAAGCAGGCCATCGCAGAGGAGACCGAGAAAAAGATTGACACGACACGTATGGGCTATACCCCAATAGCGGTCCATTCCAGCATTCTGTTCTTTACCATCGCTGATTTGGCAAATATTGAACCCATGTACCAGTACTCTCTGACATGGTTTGTGAACCTATTCATTAATGGTATCGATAACTCGGAGAAATCTGACAACCTAGAGAAACGTCTGGAGAACCTCAGAGAGTTCTTCACCTACTCGCTGTACTGTAATGTCTGTCGCTCTCTATTTGAGAAAGATAAGGTATGACTCAACAATTTATTACAGATATTTTCATCATTATATATTATTTGTACAATAATTATTGTTTTATTCTTGTTATTAATTTTTTAGTATTTTGTTTAGTTTCTTTCTTTATCTTTGTAGTCAATTTAGGCGGATTTTGGAACAATTAGTGGTTTTATTATCTTACAACAGAATATTTGGCATGTGTTAACAATTTTTTTTGTTTAAATGGTCGATATTCTTGTTCTTGTAGCTATTGTTTTCTTTCTTGCTGTGCACAAACTTACTTAAACATGCCAAAGAGGTTGACGAGGATGAGTGGCGTTTCCTACTCACTGGCGGCGTTGGTCTTGACAACCCTCACTCCAACCCTACTTCCTGGTTACCAGTTCAATCATGGGATGAAGTTTGTAGGCTGTCAGACATGCCAAACTTTGTAGGTCTTCGCAAGAAGTTTCCTGCCCAAAAGGAAGGCTGGAAAGTCATCTACGATGATACCGTAAGCCAACTCATAAATCATGATATTTTAAAATAATTATATATATTATCTTTTTATTATTATAATTCTGAGGATGATTATTTTTTAATGTATATTTCTTCCCAGGAACCCCAGCATCAGGCTCTACCTGGAGAATGGGGTGAACAACTTGGAATGTTCCAGAAAATACTAATTCTTAGATGTCTACGACCTGATAAGGCAAGTAAAATATATCAACTGGATTTCTTATATTGTCTTGTCCAGAACACCCCTTGATTATAATTGGAATGCTCCATTCTTGATATACCCTTCACTTTTGCAACCATTTTTTTGTTAAGGTAATTGTATAGCTATGTGTATAATATTATGTTATACACATAACTATATAATTATGTGTATAATATTATATTAAAATATTTTATGTTGTTATTTTTTTTCTATTCAGGTTGTACCAGCTATACAGGACTTTGTCACTGCCAAACTCCATAAGAAGTTCATTGAGCCTCCACCCTTTGATCTTGGAAAGGCATTTGGTGACAGCCATTGCTGTGCTCCTCTCATATTCGTGCTTTCCCCAGGAGCAGATCCTATGGCAGCTCTTCTCAAATTTGCTGACGATCAGGTAGGCCTAGCATATCAAGTATGCGTAATTCCTAGGCCTATATTTTCAGTGTTTCTATATTAGCTTCAGCTCATCGCATCACTGCATTGAACATCTATGTAACACATCTCTGGGGGAGTATTTCATAATGTTGCTAACAAGTGAAATCTATTATTTTTATAGGGATTTGGTGGCAGCAAGCTGAGTTCCCTGTCCCTTGGTCAAGGCCAAGGTCCAGTCGCAATGCAGATGATTGAGAAAGGTTTGAAAGAAGGTACATGGGTTGTGCTGCAGAACTGTCATTTAGCTGTTTCTTGGATGACAACACTGGAAAAGTTGTGTGAGGTAATGTGTAATGCTTTTGTTTATAGTTTTGCTTCCATAATATGAATCTGATTGTCTCAGATTGTGTTATTCAAAGGCTGACAATAAAGAATAATCTAAATTAAAGCTCTCTTTGTTTTTTCTAACATTTTGCTGCTCCACACAATTAAAAATATGTTTACAAGTTTATTCTTTTCCGTGGTTTTCCTGTAGGATCTGAATCCTGAGACCACACATCCAGACTTCCGTCTCTGGTTGACCAGTTACCCATCGCCCCACTTCCCTGTTGCTGTGCTCCAAAATGGAGTAAAAATGACGAATGAACCACCTGCCGGTCTGAGGGCCAACATCGTCCGCTCCTATCTCAGTGATCCCATATCAGATCCAGAATTCTTTAGCAGCTCCAAGAATATGGTAAGTTAGAATACCTATCAGTTGAGTGCATTTTGAGGTGAGCATTAAATGGTTAGAGAATACAAGTGAACACAGTCTAGTGTCTACAACCATGGATATATGGAATGTTAGCGGGCATTTATGCATTATTCATTATCATCAATAAAGTATCATCATTTCTTTTGCATTTGAAGTGTTATTCATATGGCATTCATTATCTGTATAGTATCTTGTTTCATATATAAAGCAGATTTCCATAAAATTGCTGCAGTTGTTATTTACAAATTATTTGGGGAGCTTTCCAGATTGTGTCACAGACAGCTATGCATTGTAGTGATTTTATAGAAACCAGGCTTAACATCTAATACAATTTATTGTATATTATATAATACTGTATTTCTTTTGTCTATATTCACTTGACTTCATATTTTGGTATTAGAGCACTAACTAAATTTCTATTTTCATATTTTTCTGCTACTATTCATACCATTGCACAGTTAATAAGGAGGTTTTGCATTGCAACATTAATATACGTATATGTATATTTGGATGCGTGACACAGCATATCTTACAGTATGTGTGCTTACCTGATAAACTGATAAAATGCTTAGGAAAGTGTTGGACATCATGTCTTGCAACATAAAAAATATATAGATGGTAGAATGGTTTTGGGCACTTATTCAGCATGCTAGGATGGGAGGCTTGTTTTTTAGAGCAAAAATAGACATTTATCAGTTTATCCAGGTGTAGACTAACAACATCACCATATTTTTTTAATGTTTCACAATAACCTGCCATGTGATATCACAATTGATAGTGAACAAGCATAACAAATAATAACAAGCATTTTCACTTTAAATATGTAGTACTGAGGCAATTGTCTTTATTGTCACACATTCACGCAGACTGTTTGTGAAACCTCCTAACTAGCTTTCATATCACCTGTTAATATGTGTCATGTTCTCACCTGAAATTTTTCTCTTCACCTGTTATTATCACTGATTACCTGTCGCTATCCACTTGGTATGCTTTCAACATTGCTTGCTTGCTTTGTCGTATCACCTGGACTACTGCTACAGAAAAAAAGCGTAGGTTTTGAAGGATTTTAACTTTGATGTCATGCTTGTAGACTTTACTAAGCCCATGTTTCAAAAATTGTTTTACTGAGTTATTTTTTATGTCTTTTAATTAATTTATACCTTTGTTTAGATGACTTTTCTCGAATATAATGTTGACATTTGAATTTAGAAATTAAAATATTCACTTTCATACTTAAACTAGTGGCATATTTTTATGAATAATACATATCTGAATATATATTTATTGTTGTATTATTATTATATTTACTTGTAGCATGCCTGGAGGAAGTTATTATATGGGCTGTGTTTCTTCCATGCACTGGTGCAAGAAAGGCGTAAATTTGGACCTCTTGGTTGGAATATTCCTTATGAGTTTAACGAGACAGATCTGCGCATCAGCGTCAGACAACTCTCCATGTTTCTTAATGAGTATGAGGTGAGTATGGGTACAGACCTGGGGGGCTACTCAACAATGTTAATGTCTTGTTTCACAATGGACTGTTCCGCTAAACCTCGCCCCTCATACAGACCTGGGGGCTACTCAACAATGTTAATGTCTTGTTTCACAATGGACTGTTCCGCTAAACCTTACCCCTCATACAGACCTGGGGGCTACTCAACAATGTTAATGTCTTGTTTCACAATGGACTGTTCCGCTAAACCTCACCCCTCATACAGACCTGGTGGGCTACTCAACAATGTTAATGTCTTGTTTCACAATGGACTGTTCCGCTAAACCTCACCCCTTGAATATTGTTGCAGAGGTCCCACAAAACAGCGTAATTTGCTATTTTAAGCCTAGTCTTGTATGCTAGAATATACAGTATTTTTGTGATAAAGTGATAAAAACATTGTAAAAATTAACAGTTTGTATCCTTCAAATTTATCTATCTAACAACAGGAGGTGCCGTTTGCAGCCATCAAATATCTAACAGGAGAATGTAACTACGGAGGACGAGTCACTGATGACCGTGACAGAAGAACACTTCTCTCCATCCTAGATAAGTTTTACTGCAAAGAGGTTATAGAGAGTGAAGACTACAAATTTGATGTCTCCGGAATTTACTTTTCCCCCAAAGATGGAGATGTAAGTAATGTTTGTTCATGTTTTTCAAACAAGTGAGCTGTATATAGGTTGATAGTCTCTACATTGACCTCATTTTCTTTTTTTCTTGCACCGGGGACTCTCTTTGTCATACGACAGTCATATGACCATCGGCCGACGAATTCAATTCCGCTCCCTTTAAGCGTTAGATGACACAACACCCTCTGCTGATTGTCGGTGGCAGTCTGAACTGATTGATATTAAAAATCATCCATTGCACGTGTGTTGTGGCGTTGCATTCTCCTTAGAATCGCGTCTGCCGATGACTGTTGGGTGTGGTGTGGCCCCAGCTTTACGGAACCTAATTAATTGTGGTTGACTTGTGTTTTATAATCACAAGTTTGGGCCACTTAAATACTATTTTTTTCTGCGCATATACTGTATTCGATTAATTATTCCATGCTTTTTCCTTTTTTTTTGCTTACAGTATGAGAGTTACATCGAGTACACCAAAAATCTACCCCTAAACCCTCATCCAGAGATCTTTGGTATGCATGCAAATGCAGATATCACCAAGGACCAAGCACAAACAAAACTCCTTTTTGATAATATTCTACTTACCCAGGTAAGAAATGTTCAAATAATTTCATTTGGCTTCTTGTAAATATGTAAATATAAAGGTCGAAACCGTTGTGGTACGTAATTTACGTTGTTTTGGCTTAGTTTAAAAAGAAAAAAAGAAAATTACACTCTACCAGGTAAGAAATGTTAAATGAAGTTAAATATGACAAAAATAATGCTAATAATAATATAATAATCTTATGTAATGAGAGTAATATTATTATCAGCATAATTTTTATATTTTTGTTATCTGAATCATTATCATTACTCTTCTATTCATTATATATTTTATTGACATCCACATAGAAATTGGTATCATCGTTTTTACCAGCATATTTATGATTATCATCATCATTATCTTGATCATACACATATGAATAAACTTTATTGTCCTTTGTAATATACAAATGAAAATCATTTTCATCATGATCTTGGACAAAAATCATCATTGTAATTGTTACAATCATTATCCTCATTACCATCATCTTCCTCATCATAGTCATAATTATCATCTCATTTTGATCCCACCATGATCATCATTTCATCATCATCATCATCATCATCATCATTATAATTTTCATTACTGATTGCTATTGACATAGAGTGTTGCGAATGTCTATGTAGGTTGTGAATTGTATAGTATAACAGATGTAAGCTTAACAGGCTTAATAGCTAAGTTATTGTCTGGGAAGGGGATTGGTGTTGAACGTGATGGCATAATGGTATTTCAGCGCCCAACACCTTTGATATTGGGACAGCACTAGTGCGTGCTAATGGAGTGGAGTTGATTAGATTTGTGTCTAAGATGCTGGCTTTCCAATCCCAGGGTCCTGGGTTCAATTTCTGTTACAGTAACATGATTTTTTTCTCACACCCAAAACAACTCCACTCCCTAAGCTTCATAATGAGACTTGGTTTACATGAAGATTCTTCTTTTTATGTTAGTCTTGTGAAGGGATATACCACTTTGAATATTGACTTAGTTCAATGCTTTGCAACCCTTGGCCTAAAACCAGTTAATAAAAAATTTAAAAAATTAAATGTTTCCATGACAAGACATTATTCTGGGGTCTACCTTGAGCTTTGGTTTGTTGTCCACTGCTTAATAACAGTATAAAACAAATGCCATATAGTACTAATTCAATATTATTGGATAAGAAAATGTTTTTAAATGTTTTTGATAAGTATACATTTCTTCATCTTTGTATTTTTGGTTCTGTGCTTGCTGCTGCCACCATTCACAATCACTATCATCTGCAGGCTCAGGTATATGTATGGTCTTTGCAGGCTATCAAATCTGCAATGTTCACTTTGTACAAATATGTTTCAATGTGTTTGGTTTGTTTTTGATTTGTTTTTAACACATTTATTTAACAATTTGATTTTATATGACTTAATTTCAGCTAATATATTACACATTTTTTTTCAATAATTTAAAGGTTTCCTGATTTTGATATTTTAAGTTATAGTCTTTCAATATTGAATTGATTTATCAACAATGCAATAGTTACCCGGCCGTCTCGAGCAAAAACAACTTAACTGAAATTTTTGTCGATTGTGAGATAATATCATTTGGGAGTATATTAATGTCTGAATTACCTGTGAAAATTTCAGGTCTCAATAATGCGTCATTTCAGAGATAGCACCGCCTATCTTTAAACACAGAACTTAAAATCTTGTGGTTTTCCGTGGCAAAACAACGTAACTACAAGATTACGGGGCAAAACAACATATCTACAATAAAGATACCTTGTTTTGCCTCAGAATGGTATTCAAAAATTGTCTTGAGCTAATGGAGTTTGGCAATGAAAAATTAAATGGTTATTGGTGTTTTAATATCGAAAATCTTAACAGCGACAAATGAACAAGCTAGCTAATGCATATGTTTGCCCCAAACATGATAAATTCCAAAAATATGTCTTACTTTCATCAATACCGAGCCTGACATCTTTCCAAGGCACAACAACATATGTAATTATTGCTAATAACTTTGCAATAAACAAACAGTTGTAATATAATCACAATGTCTATAGATATACAATCCTGCAAAATTTCAAAAGGGTACAACAATTTATTGCAAAGTTCCGAACATCCAAACTTTAACTCTATTTTTATCCACAAAAGTGAAAATTTCAAGATACGTTTTTTTGCCATGTAACGGCCGAACCTATGTAAATAATTATAATGATAATACATGTATACTTTAAAGTAAAACTTAAATTTTTAAGTGTGTGTTTTTTTTAATATTCTTTATTGTATTTTGTAATTGATTTGCACTTGTTTTATCACAACTCTGTATTTGGTGTTTACACGCACTCTGTTTTTAACTAAATTTTGATAATAATTTTTTTTTAAAATACTAAGTATGCAAGGAATTGTGTAGATATATTACTTTTTTTTAAAATGGGGAAGTTAAGCCAATTAACAATTTATTTACAAATATATGTTATATTAATATACAGGTTCAATATTTATCTTACTGTATACCGCCCTCATGTTCAGTATGTGGCAATTATTTACTGTTAAATGGGTAAAAAGAAATAAATTTAGGCACTTTTCTACCTTTGATATTTTTCATTAATCTACTTAAATTAATAAATGCATTAAATTGGCATTAAGTATTCAATCACTAATGTAGTAAAGAAATTGAATCTTTATAAAAACCCTAAAATTTATAATGAATTTTGAGTTTGTTGTTTTAATGTTATGATATATATTGATTGCACCACATGTTTATTCACAGTATTTTTTTAATTTTTATTGTAATGATGTAATTTTAGTTGTTTGGTTGGTGTTGACTGATTTTGACTTACATGAAATTTAATAACCCATTGTATATAGCACCAACAATTATTCAATTAGTAAACTTTCAGCAAGAAAAAATAAATTTAATCTTGAATGTCCTATCCTTAAAATATTATTGGATATTTATGTATAAAATTTAATGGATTATCTGTTTTCCTTTCTCATTTTTTCAAAATCACTCTCATTGTAGTCCCGCGGTTCAAAAGGTGGTGCTAAAAGTAATGATGAGGTGATCAACGATGTTGCATCTGACATCCTTGCCAAGTTGCCCCCTGTGTTCGACACAGAGGCAGCTCTGAGGAAGTATCCAACAACATACACGCAGAGTATGAACACTGTCCTCGTGCAGGAGATGGTACGATTCAACAACCTGCTTGTAACAGTCCGTGCAAGTCTCATCAATATTCAAAAGGCAATTAAGGTAAAGCAATTCTTTCTCCCTCTCCCTCCATTCTCTAAGCCTTGCTGTGAGACTGCAATCCTTACTGTTAAGTAATCCTTACAGATTAGTTTACTGTAATGACCATCTTTATACATGTTGTAAACCTAGATTTTAGTGATGTAGTCCTATTTGCTTTGCCTGATTGTGGTAGTTCTTATATGTATACTATTGCTTTTTATATAGGGTTTGGTAGTGATGTCATCTGAATTAGAGGAAGTCGCCAACAGTGTATTAAAGGGACGTGTCCCAGGCATGTGGATGAAAAAGTCTTACCCATCTCTGAAGCCTCTAGGAAGCTATGTCAATGACTTTTTAGCAAGACTTAAATTCTTGCAGGTATTTATAATTTACAATTACACTTTTGAAAATAAAATATTGATTCTTTTTTCATGTACTTTGTACATAAAATATCTCCCATCATTAGTCTAATAATTCAACAATTAGTTAAATCTGTAGAAGATTTTAATGTGTTTAGCCTTGTGAATATACCTAAAACTTTTATTAGAAGCCCCATGGTCTTGATCTCGAGAAGAAGCCTATCTTGAAAAGAAGCCCCCCCTCCTCAGTTAAAGTAATCTTAAAAAAAGCTATCATATTCATCAAAGATAACCTCAGTCTAAATGTTAGTATCTTAATTAGAAGCCCATGGGCATCTTTCAAGATAGTACTTACATTTAGACTGAGGTTATCTTTGATGATTATGATAGTGTGTCAGTATCAATAGTTTTTTTATTGTTCTTTCTAGCATGGTTAAAATTAAACAGAATTTAAACAATAATGGAATAGCCCAGTTTGCCATAAAAGAGCTGTACACATCCTCATTCAGTTTTCACTTGTGCAAAGTATTAGGTTATGGCCTCTAGTGAATCTTCTTTAGGAATTTTTTTTTTAGATAAGAACCATTGGTCTGTTTTTAATTATGATTATATTGACATTATATTTGTATCTTCAGGATTGGTATGACACAGGCCCACCTCCAGTCTTCTGGATTTCTGGCTTCTATTTCACACAGGCCTTCTTGACTGGAGCACAGCAAAATTTTGCAAGAAAGTACACAATTCCGATTGATCTACTTGGTTTCGACTATGAAGTTTTGGATGACAAGAAGTATGACCAACCACCAGAGGACGGTAAGTGATTTCTTACAAATATTTTGAGTATCCGTTTCATTTATTTATTTATTCATTTAAATATATATTCATTACCCGTTTCTAGAACAGGGGTGGGCATAAAATTTGGTCGAAGGGCCAAAGTGAATTTTTGATTTAAAACCGAGGGCCACATCCGAACCTTTATGTTTCCAGTGTGCTTCCAAAAACCTTCATGCACACTTTTATACTGCTTTAAGCTCAGTTTTAATATTACTTTTAGAGATGATCGGTGTTGGGCCATAAAAAGGGGTCTTTTCTAGCCAAAGATGGTTAGTGGGCTGCACACATAGGGTTTTAAATTCATATTCGCCCACCTGTGCTTTAGAAGGACCCTTCAAAATTTATATTATTCTTATAATCATAAGCTTAGAAGTTATCAATGATCCATGATTTATAGTGACAAAGCCATGTAAATTACATTCATATATGAAGATATTGTTTGCAGGTGTGTATGTAAATGGCCTGTTTGTTGAAGGTGCTCGATGGGATAGGAAGACAAAACGCCTAGCTGAATCCCATCCAAAGATGTTGTATGACACCCTACCAACGGTAAGTTTTACTGTATTTTTGGAATACCATTCTTGATTCTGATGATTTTTTTTTTCAAACAATAAGGCTGTAGTTTTTTTTAGGTTAATATTGTTCAAATAATGAAATAATAATCCCCTGCCCTGATAAAAAAGGGAAGATTTATTCAATAATGTGTTTTGCTACTAAAGTATACGTATAAATAGATTTATTTTAGACTATAACTTTAAACAATTTTATTAATAATTAAACTATTATAATGAAATCTTTCTCACCTTCTACAGATGTGGTTTATCCCCATCAAGAGAGATGAAATCCCAGAAAAGACCTCCTATGTAGCACCTATCTACAAAACAAGCGAAAGACGTGGTACGCTTTCCACAACAGGTCATTCCACCAACTTTGTGATTGCAATAAACATTCCATCGGACAAACCATATGGACATTGGATTGGTAGGGGTGTTGCTTTACTTTGTCAGCTGGATAACTGAGTTCATATGTATTTAATTGTATTATAAATATAAAACATCTTGTAATGTAAAATAGGCTTGCGTGGATACAATGTCTAAACAAGTAAAAACTTAAATACTTAATGTATTCCAAAAAGTTGAATTGTCTATATGTAATAATAAGAAATAGATATTACAAGAGAAGTATACAACTTTGAAGAATTTTGGTATTTCCAAATTGCCACTATATAATGAATATACAGTAGTTTTATTATTCATAAAAATATATGTAAATATGATTTAGTGTATTTATATGTGATCATATATAAATATATAACTTAATGCAACAAATATGATAGATAAAAATTATAAAAACTATACTAAATGCATTTATAATCAAATTCAACATATTTAGAACTTTGTATCATCACATTAGGATGACAAGATTGTAACTCATTTTTTTCGGTTTTGAAATTATTTTGAATTCCACTCAGCAATTATTTGAGTTTGTTGCAGTAAAAAGGTGTTTGTTGTCATAAAAATTTTGCACATAAAATTCCTGCATGAATACAGTTGTAGCTGATTGCATATTCCCTTGATTTTGTACTATGATGTCTGTAAATTGTACAGCTAGTTTGTGCTTTTCCATCTTTTATAATTAATAATATAATAATTAGATAATATATTTCATTATAAAAAAATCAAATCAAGAATATACTTTATTATTTTCTTCATCAAAATGAAACAAAAATGGCATAATAATCTTGTTATTCTAACATAATGATATGTCAGAAATGTAAAATTTATTTACATAAATAGAATATTATAATTTGACATACACACATAAAATTATAATGTATACAGTTCTTCCTTGTATTGAAGTCAGCTATTCTTCCTGTTGCTTTGTTTTTGTAGCAGTTTGATTTAAGATTTTGTGTGATTTTTAATGGTTAGGCTTGAAAGTAAGCTGTACCAAACAATTGTAAATCTCTATAAATATATTCTTGAAAAAAAATAAAGCATAATTATGTGTGATGAAATTGCTTTTGTCATTACATCTATTGGTCACTAATTAATATTTCACTGGATTTATTATAATATTTTTATTATTAAGAGTATTATTATAACAATAATAATAGTATTGTTATATTATTGTTATTGTTATTATTATTATTATTATTATTATTATAATTATTAATATTATTATTAATATTAATACTTTTAAATGGTCAGCATTTTTTAAAAATTATTATAAATATTATACACTATTATTATTATTATTATTATTATTATTGTTAATAATAATAATAATAATAATAATAATGAAAACTTCAGGTGGGGCTTGCATCCCCTCTCCCTTCTTTAATCTGTCACTGGTAGTAATAATAGTACTTCAACAACAAGAAGAGTCAAATCTTTAATTTATTGATTTTTTTTCCGTAGTATTAGCACATTTCGGAAAGCGCCACCAGCGCCAGTTTATGTCGAGAAACTTTTTTGATGCGAATTAGAGTCTATTTCGTGAATACTTACCTGGATAACCGACTAATTGCCATTGTTCCCAAAACGGAACACCCCTTCGAAAAAAATGGAACAGTCCGACCCAAGGCGCCACGTACGAACCGTCTCCCTAACAAACGTCCTAGATGTGTATAAGAGACAGGACTGTCTCTTATACACATCTAGATGTGTATAAGAGACAGCTTTTCAAGCTATCTTATTTTGCCGTGGATTTATTTTCAACTTGCAAGATATCCTTTGTTTATTGTAGTCTCGATCGACATGTCCGCTCGCAAGTCTTTGTGCTCGGCGTGTGGGGGCCCTAAACCGAGTGTTAAGCTCGACCGGCACTCGGCTGCCGGCGCGGCCCGGAGGGCTAATGTGCTCCGGGCGACGACCGTCAGCCCCGGTCATTTTGACCGGTTTTTAGACTGCCCCTCTTTTGGGGCAGAGGACCTCTTCTTTGGTATATATATATATATATATATAACAAAAGAATAAAAGAAACGAATACCATATATAGACTTCAGAAACACTTTATTGGAGAAAACCAATATTTCGACCTATCCTCAGGTCTTTATCAAGGTAGTACCTATAGGTCGAAATATTTGTTTTCTCTAATAAATTGTTTCTAAAGTCCATACATATGATATATTTCTTATTGTTTCTAATACACAAAGACAGTTTCGATTTTATCTGTTATATCATAATTGATATACATATAGGATTATATATATATTTAAATATATTCATATATATATAATATATTAATATATATGTCTATATATATTTATATATATAATATATATATATATATATGATTATATCGTTATTATTGTCATCATATCGTTATTGTCATTATTAGTTCTATTATACCTTTTTATATTATTATTATTAATATTATTTTTATAAATGCATATTTCATTATGGATGCAAATGAAAAGAAAAACAAAGCAACGACATAAAACACTTTAGTTTTGACTTAAATATTTAGTAAATACACAGTAAATTGGGGCCGAGTTGACTACTTGGGGCCGAGTTGACTTGGGGCCGAGTTAACTTGGGGAGAGTTGACATGGGGCTGAGTTGGCTTAGGGCCGAATTGACTTGGGGCCGAGTTGATTGGGGCCGAGTTGGGGATACTGATTTTCATGAACGTCACTCACGAAATCAAAAATTCCAGTGCAAAGCAAAGCAACAATGATCATATTAGTTAAACAGCTAATTCCAAACTTGCCATTGATGCATTACAATTATTATAATGTTTTATATGTTTATTCAGAACCGTCAAATTTTGTTCCGAAGGGCTTTTAGTCCCTGGATCTTAATCGGGGGCACTTTGCAATTTTCTACACCCAGGTAATCGGTTGTACTTGCTCATAATTATTGTTCTGGACGTCTATTGAACCGTGGGTCTCTGTCTTCCTAAAGACCTCATTGATCGCTTTGCTCTCTGGAAGTATTACTATTATAAGACTAAATATAACAAGAAATATTTCCTATAAAAATCGCCAAAACACCTTTAACTTATGACTGGTTTGAATTTGCAAACTTAATAAATTAACGTATTCTACCATCTTCAGTGCATTTCTTTTATGGTATGACACATAAAAATAGTAGCCTACAGGTACAGGAATTGGTTTACGACTGGTGTAGCAATATCCACGAAGTTATTTACATTGCGGTCACATGATAAAAATAGTAAAAAGGGATGCATTTATACAGTACTGTACATTAGAAATGTGGAAAGTATAAAATTTATAAACCAGTGTCATATATAATTTGGTGTAGGCCTACCATACTTTAGCTTGTGTTCTTACCATTATTGTTGTTTTTAATATTAATAATAATATTATTATTTAATGTTAATTTTATTTTATTTCTTTGTTCAATTTTTAAAAATATATTTTATTATTTTTATTATTCTACTGGCTGTGTTTGACGAGTTACAGATAAATTCCATCATTGCCGATTTTTACGCTTCAGCTTTAGACTGGCTAGCGCCACCCCCACTAGGCCCTACTAGCGCCACCCCCACTAGGCTCTACTAGCGCCACCCCCACTAGGCCCTACTAGCGCCACCCCCACTAGGCCCTACTAGCGCCACCCCCACGAGGCTCTACTGCTGTCAGTTTCTTTGTGGCTATTGTTTCCCAATATTTCGATATATTTTTTTGTCCTTGCAACCTGACGGGGCCGCTGTAGGACCTGAGCTGGATCCCTGTAGAAACGTAGGCCTCATTCTAACACTGATCCTCCACCCCACGTTGTTTCTGATTGCTCTATTGAGTATACATTTATTACCTGATAGATCTGTCCATGGAGGAATATCTACATGGTCTGTTTGTCAATTAATTAACTTAATAAAAAAAAAACTATACCAGCATTCTGTTATTCGAAACTCTACATATTCACATGTCTAGACATAATTAAAAAGATAAATTAATACGTTTATTTAAATAATTCATAGCATAGGGCCTACTATAACTTGTGTATTCATAACACACCTGTTATTTAATTAAACCTACGTCTTTTTATATACTGTACCATGTGTATTCATAACACATGTTTTATTTAATTAGGCTTATGTTTTTTTATATGTATTTCACAATATCTGTCAACTCGTCAAAATATAAAAGGCATGGTCACTGTTATTATATTGCATTATATATTTAATGTGTTCGTGATAAATTATTCTTGGAGGCATAAGCATACTGTACCCTATATATTCATAACATGTTTTATTTAATTAAGCCTATGCCCTTTTTTACATGTATTTTACAATATCCGTCAACTCGTATAAATATAATAGTCCTGCAGTTATTTTTATTGATATTGCATTATATAAGATGTTCGTGATAATTTATTCATGGAGGAATACGCATACTGTACCATGTGTATTCATAACACATATTTTATTTAATTATGTCTACGTCTCTATTATGTATTCCACAATATCTGTCAATTCGTATATTAATATAACAGGTCTATAGTCATTGTGATACATATACAATGTGCTCATGGTTTTAGTAGTTTATTTATTCATGGAGGAGGAATTTATTCATCTAGTTATGGGATTGATAAGAAATTTTGAATAATTTATTTTTCTATTATTTTCGCAATGCACCTTAAATATAACTAATATCAACTCACCTTTCAAAATGTGGACACATTTAATGCGTATAAACTCAATAATGTCGACCATTAAAAAAAAATCTTTCAAGCATATAATTTGCCTAATGTGGACCCATCTTTTACAATATGGACCCATTTCATGCATAATAAACTGAATAATTTGGAACATTTAAAAAAAATGGGACCCATTTTATGCGTAAAAGCCTTTTTGGATCTGGGTGCTATAGAGCAAAGACCCTATGGGAGGATACCACAGGGGACCCTAAGAGTCGGTGGCCCTGCGGCAGACCGCCGTACGAGAGCGCATAGGCATTACGCCACTGAGCATGCATAGATAACTATTTTGGCTGGGTACTACATTCCGTAATAATTGTTAAAAAAAAAAAAAAAAAAAAAATTCTTTTGGCCTTTTTTACATCCTGATTATGAAATCGTTGGAAACAAATTGACGTCGGGGATATAGCGTTGTGTTCGTCGTCAGTCAATAGACAATTCAAAATTGAGCTCTCCTTTCGCTCCACTGCTCGGTCCGCCACTGAACTCATGGGTACACTTCCTTTTTTCCCTCTTTCCTCACTTTCCTCATTTTAACTTAATTTTTTTCTCCCTCTTTTTTTATATATTTCAGAGGGACAGACACGGGGGGGAGGGGAGGGGGAACGGCCTCTGTGTCCCCCATCCCCCCGCCTGAATCCGCCCTTGTCATTCCTTCGTGGAAAGCATAAGCGTTATGACGTTCGCCGAGATACCGATTGCGGGTTCGATTCCCACCAGAAACCTCTTTTTACATACAGCAATAATAAGGAACTTTCGTTGATGAGTTAGGCCTATGTTTGATACGATTTACAGTATATCATGTTTTTATATATTTAAGCACTGTGTTATTATCTATTTGATTTATATATTTTTTGTGTTCCCACTGAGTGCTAAGCAATAACTTGGTTTGAACTATGATTTACCTGCAGCTAGCTACGACTTATAACATCATGTTCCCTAACCCTAATTTAATCTATTTGATTTGTACATTTTTGTTTTTCCAGTGCTAAGAAGCAACTTGATTAGAATATTATTTCCTATTTTCCTTTAAAAATGCCTCACCTATGTGTGAGCCCTCAAGTTATATAAAGAGAGAAAGACTAGTGGTCTTAGATCCATAGTGATATCGTACGGGCCTCTGTGGTCTAAACGATGACACTCGCCTCGATAGTAATCAAATTTAACCCTAATTAACACTAACCCAAACAAATTAGCAGGGGGAATTGGCCCTCCCCCACCCTTTTTGGGTACGGGGCTACAGAATTCCCATTGAACTATTGAATTATTGATGTAAAATGTTAAATACTGTACAGGTTTTGGCAGAAATCTAAACATTTCCTCTTTAAATAAGAACTACCTTTAAATAGTG